ATATTGTCACTTACAATGTCACATTTCTTTAAACCATTCTATCTACATGTATGTATGGCATTTTTAATACAGAATTACACAAAACATCTTGCATAATAATTAAAGTGCTGGGCCTGAAACAATAGTACAGTCAGCAGGACTTCTGTATTGTGTGTGGGACCGGATTTCCCCCATGGTCCCTTAAGTACCCCCAGGAGTGAAGTCTGGGCACTGAGCCAAGAGTCAACCCTGAGCACAGCCAGGTGTGGTCCAAAAGCAAAATAATAATTAAAATGTTTTGATATTTTATGTACTTTTCCAATGAATAGAACATAGGAATCACATGGCTGCTTATTAATCAAGCAAATTATTACTTTTTCAGAGGGTTTTCAACCCCAACTTAGTTCTACATTCTCTATCAATACAGTCTCATGGGGCAAATTATTCTTTCTGAAGTGAAATTTCTACTGATAACTTCTAGCTCTGAACTATATCTTATTCTCATTCATCTTCATTAAAATAGCTCTGGGACTTCATAAGGAGTTATTATACTGCAGAGAATAAATACAGGTGAAAAAATGGTCTTTTACTTCATATAGCTGAATACATATATTCTTAAGATATTGTGAGCTTGTGAGTTATCTTTATTAGCAAATACCGTTTGATTTTGCCCTGACATAGTTTCTGTCCAAGTTGCAAAACATCACCTTTTTTTGCTCCTTTGGGTTACTGAAGTTTTGCAACTACTGATATTACAAAATATATCTTAGTATTTAACTTTAAAGAAAAATTAGTTGACATCTTTTAACTGCACCATTAAAAAGTATACATTCAATCTTAGAAGAAAATAAGAATTACAATTTATTGAGAGGAAGGCAGAAAGAAAAGAAGGAATACAATAATAATAATTTAAGTAGAAAAATATTCAGTGGTACTATTTGTTTGCATTTTATCTTTATCTTCATGGACTCAAAAATTTCTTTATAAACTGAAAGAAAATTGAAATAGAAGAAAAATGTATGTGTTTTGAAATAGAACATAAACAGAAAACATGGAATAATGAGGAAAGGTAAAGGTAAAGGCCCTCCCGTTGATCGTCGATTTGCTCGAGCTGGCCCAGTAACGTCTCCATTGGAGACTTTGTTGTTACTGTGTTTGGCATATCAAATACTCTCGGTAGCTTGCCGGGCTCTCCGAGAGGGGCGGAGGAATCGAACTCGGGTCGGCCATGTTGGCCGCTTGTAAGGCAAACGCCCTACCCGCTGTGCTATCGCTCCAGCCCAATAATGAGGAAAACAAACAAAAATTCCAGGTGATTTTTTTTTAGAGACTGATAAATAGACATACTAACATATAAGATATGGAAGAAAATCATTTATATCTCATCTACCAGTGGACTAGGTCCATGATCATGCCCTCAACTTATAGTTGAGTATTGTGGCTCTTTGGCCTGGCCCATTTCAATGCCAGGGTAGCTCACCACTTGCCCTGGGTCCATTCAGTCCCTCATTGGGACACTGCTTTTGGGGTGCTAGGAACTAAGGGCAACTGAGTCAAGAAATCAGATGCCCAGGAGTAAATATTATTCGGAGTCAATCAACTCCCAAGTTACAAAGCATAATATTAACTGTCTTCCTGTGTCCACACAGAAAGGACATTGCTTACAATACAAGTTCAGTGTCCTTAGATGGGTGTCACCTAACAAACCTAAGCTACCTAAGGAAGGACAAAAGAGTGTTATCCTACAGACTAGGTCCTGCTTTGTGACTTTCTTTATTTCCATTCATTATATTTAATTCATATTTTGATTTTCTCATGAAACATAAATAAGTGAAATATATAGAAGTAAGTAGTGTTTGTAGGTTTGATATTAATTTTTGTACATTTATTGCTGTTGAATACAATGACATGGTATTTGGAGATAGACTAAACCAGAAAATCAAAAGTAAATGATTTTAACTCCTATAATTGCACTTGAGAAATGAAGTCTATCTCATTTTAAATTATGAATAATAACTATATTCTGCAAATAATATCTTGTAGACAACACATTTATATAATTAAAATATTTTGAAAAATGCTAAATGACTTAGCACTAATTCTTGAACATTTTTGATGCAATTACTACAACATCATCTTTAAATTGGCTTCTAGGTCAAGAGGATAATATAATTCCAAATGCTTTAAATCAATTATGTATACATGTGGCTGGAGCGATAGCACACTGGGTAGGGTGTTTGCCTTGCACGTGGCCAATACCTCCAGCCCTCTCTGAGAGCATGGCAAGCTACCGAGAGTATCTCACCTGCACGGCAAAGCCTGGAAAGCTCCCCATGACGTATTCAATATGCCAAAAACAGTAACAACAAGTCTCACAATTTGTTGTGAGACATTACTGGTACCCACTTGAGCAAATCAATGAGCAACAGGAGGACAGTGTTACAGTGCTACATGCATACATGGAATCTGAAAATAATCCTGAAATATAGTCATCTGAAAATTGTTTTCAAACAAGCACTTAATTTTCTAAAAATTTTGTGTTTTTAAGGTTTACTTTTTAATTTATATTTTTATATTTTTAATTTGTTTATGTAAAGGTGTTAACTTGGAGCTATAGAGATAGTACAGAGGGTAAGGCATTTACCTTTCATGCTTCCTACCCAGTTTGATTCCCAGAACCAGATATGATCCCCAGAGTCCTGCTGAAAGTGGTCTCTGAACACAGATCCATAAGAAATCCCAGAGCCATGCTGGGTGTGACCCCAAAACAAAATAAAATTTTTCAAATAAAATTAAAGAAATTGGGCTGGAGAAAGTACAGCTTTCCTTGCAGTTGGCTGACTGATATTCTATTCCCCAACACCCCATATGGTTCCTGAGCACTGCCAGGTATGATTCCTGAGTTCAGAGTCAGAAGAATCCCAAATAGGTATGCGTGTGGACCCCAAACAAAATAAAACAAAAAAAATATTCCTGAGAGAAGAACCAAGAGTAAGCCCTGAGCACCAATAAAGGGAAGGAAGGAAGGAAGGAAGGAAGGAAGGAAGGAAGGAAGGAAGGAAGGAAGGAAGGAAGGAAGGAAGGAAGGAAGGAAAAAAGGAAGGAAGGAAGGAAGGAAGGAAGGAAGGAAGGAAGGAAGGAAGGAAGGAAGGAAGGAAAAAAGGAATGAAGGAAGGAAGGAAGGAAAAAAGGAAGGAAGGAAGGAAGGAAGGAAGGAAGGAAGGAAGGAAGGAAGGAAGGAAAAAAGGAAGGAAGGAAGGAAGGAAGGAAGGAAGGAAGGAAGGAAGGAAGGAAGGAAGGGAGGGAGGGAGGGAGGGAGAGAGAAACCAGGGAGGGAGGGAGGGAAGGAGGGAGTGAGGAAGGAGATAACTTCTTGACAATTTTATACTCTGATGAAAAATGTTTCTTAAATATTATAATATGATTTCATCATCATATATTTTAGTTAATAAGAAGATAAGCTTCAAATGGAAACCTCAATAAACTAGTAATATATAATGGCCTAGAATTTGAACATCATGTAAGCAATGAGGCATAATTATGAAACATATTTCTAATATTATCCCAGGAGTTACAGGCATGTTAAATGAATCATTAAATTAGACACAGAGAAATAGAGATAAAAATATTGAAGCAATAGTGTCTTCTAAGAACTTGTCAAATCCGCATCATTATAGAACAGATTTACATAATTTGTGGACAGAAATGCTGCATGGTTTTCTAGAGGTTTAGAGAGTTGTCTAATAGTTTTCTTCTTAAACTTTAATACTATAATCACTTATTATAATAATATATATTAAAGCATCAAATTACAATTTATTTAAAATTTTCTGAATCAATTGAATAGACAATTTATATTAAAGATATGCTTGACCTTTGCTTTTTTATCGAGCATGAATAGTAAATACATATTTTGTGAATAAAATATGCTTGTACCAACAAATCAAATATTTTTCTAGTTTTGCTTATTTTAAATTAATTTTATTACAGTTAAAGTGACAGGGTTACAATAGTGCCAGAATTTATACTATTGCTGTACAAAGTTGTATATTCAAATCACCAAAATGTCAAAGATCCTGACTCTAGGTCTCATGCTGAGCAAATGGAAATACCTTTAGAAAGAAATATTTTCTTTTTGGTTTTTGATTTGTGGGCGACACCCAGAGCTGCTAAGGGATTACTCTGACTCTACAGTCAGGAATTATTTCTGGAGGTGCTCACAAGACCATTTTGGGTCCTAGGGATCAAACCATAGTGGTTCTCCATGCTGTACTATCACTCTGGCCCCTAAAGAGAAATATTTAGAATTACCTTTTTGCAGGTGGGTGGCAAAAGGGTTGTTGGATCTCACCTGGCAGTGCTCCAGCCGTATTTGTGGGATCGGTCCTGGAATTTCCCAAGGTCTATATTTAGTACCAGGGGACAAAACTGGGGGTCATCCTTATGCAAGGCAAGGTCTTTATTCCTACTAGCCCTTCATGGTTCAGAAGGTTATTTTTAACTAATAAGATTTAACCTTCCAGGTACATAGAGAATTAATAAAAATGCTTACTGTATAATTGGAAATATGAGACTTTGTCACTGTCACTGTCACTGTCCTCTTGTTGTTCATCGATCTGCTTGAGCGGGCCCAGTAACATCTCCATTGTCACAATTGTTACTGTGCTTGGCATATTGAATACATCACAGGTAGGTTGCCAGGCTTTGCCGTGTGGGCGAGATACTCTCGGTAGCTTGTCAGGCTCTCTGAGAGGGGCGGAGGAATCAAACTCGGGTCGGCTATGTTGGCTGCATGAGAGGCAAACGCCCTACCCGCTGTGCTCTAGCCCTTGTCAGTAAAAATAAAAAGTAAATTTGAAGTTTATTATAACACTTGAAGCCCTAAAACAAAAATGGTTTTTGATGAATGGGACTAGGAAGTTTCATCATACAAAAGTAAGGCAGACAAGAAAACAGAATGCTAGTTGGAAATTTTAGTCTTTTAAAAATCTGGTTTATTTATTTATTAATTTATTTAAAGAATGAGATAGGAGCATTTAGGGTGTTGTGAGCCCTAATCACACAGAGACATTAATCATGAACCATGGGAACTCCAAACTCCGGTCATCATGTCTATCTTTCCTCTGAATAGAGGAACAGGTAAGGATCTTCCTACCTGACAATCAGAAACTATAGTCTTGATCTACAAACAAATACTGTAGAATGTAGCCCAAGAAAGAATAGAGTGATTGTCCATATGTTATCTACCTTCATTTTATATTTGCAATATACAACATTAACAAGTTTAAACAAAATAATTGAATGGAATTTTCTTTTACTGACACTGTAAATGTCTTAGAAAAAATTACATAAATACTTATGACTTGACATTGGTATATTACTTATGCTTGACATAGATCAAAAAATTACTGGTTGAGGTCAGTATTCTTAGTACTTTAATTTTCTAAATAATTTTTAATTTTCTAAATAATTTTAATTTTCTAAATAATTTTCTACCAATGATTTGTTATATTTACTCTTTTTGCCTCTACAACATGCTCTATTTATCAGCTTTCTCCTTGAATATAAAGTATATTTCTAGTAAAACAATATGATTACCAATAAAATCTTAATTCAATTATAAGTTAACATTCTTTATAATTTTAAATGTTACTTAAATGTTACTATTATATTTAACTTATGTACTTAAAGAACAACAAGATAAATCACATTTGATATAAAAATAATCCATACTTGCTCTTTGCAAATACTACTAAGATGAGATTGTTTAACAAAGTTGTATAGATTTGGGGTAGCACTGTAGGTCTGTCCTCCCGTTGTTCATCGATTTGCTCTAGCGGGCCCAGCAACATTGTGAGACTTGTTGTTACTGTGTTTGCATATCGAATATGTCATGGGTAACTTGCTAGGCTTTGCTGTGCAGGCGAGATACTCTTGGTAGCTTGTAAGGCTCTCCGAGAGGGGTGGAGGAATCAAAGAGGGGCAGAAGAATTAAATTCAGCTCGGCCAGGTCAGCCTGGTGGTCTGCATGCAAACCAAAGGCCTATGCACTGTGCTATCGCGCCAGCCCATAGATTTGGGGGTACATATAATAATTTAACAACTGTCTACACTACCTTATAGTCTCTAACAAACATCTAGTTTTAATCTATCAATATACAGTTTGCTAATTACTCATACCCTTCTCATATTCCCTTTTTATTTGTTACTCCCATTTGTTTTTCTAAATTATGTTTGTTATTGTTTTGTCTAATTATTAATTTTATTTTGTTTTATGTATAAGTAAAATATGTGCTATTTATTAATCATAATATGATATTTCATCTGGCATAAAGGAGATGGTAGAATACAATAATAGAACATAATGGAATACTACTTGGCCACACATACAATTGAAATAAAGCTGTGTGCTGTTATTTCATTTAAACTACTTTTAATATCAATCCAATTTCTAAAAACTCTGAGTTCCATTAAGCAATAACTTTTAAGTAATATATGTAAATTACTGGAAAAAAATTTAAATCATATTAAGGGAAATAATTCACAATAGTTGGCACTGTAAAAATGTAGTAAAATTAGGAAAAAAATTGGTTTCAGGAGGATTTTAAGTTTTAATCTTATTAGAAACTATAAACACATAGATAATATTATGTAGTTACCTAAAGTATGTTGAAGTTTAAAAAAAACAAAATGACTTTAAGCAAAAATGTTAAAAATAGCAAAGGATTCCAAACTAAGGGTGATCAATTGTAATATATTTTATTGATATGTAGTCATCTCAAAATTGAGATGTCTATAAAAATTCTCAAAAAAATATTAAGAAATGTTAGTGAACAGGAAGTTAGCACTCAAGTGTTAAGTATAACTTTCCTAAAATCATAAGGTAAAGAGAGAGAGATGTTTAATTATGAGAGAAGTAGTACTATATTTTAAAGCAAACTTATAAATTAATTTCACATGTAAAACCAAAATGGATTAAAGATGTGGATCACTATATCACTAATTATCATTAATTTCGCATAGTAAACTAAGATGGATTAAAGATGTGATCACTGTATCACTGTCATCCCATTGATCGTCGAATTACTGGAGCAGATGCCAGTAACGTCTCTATTCCTCCCGCCCTGAGATTTTAGCAGCCTCTTCTTACTTGTCTTTTCCCAACGATTGGAGGCTTTTTCAGGGTCAGCGGAATGAGACCTGTTGTTGTTATTCTATTTGGCATATCGAATACACCACGGGGAGCTTGCCAGTCTCTGCCTGTGTGGGCGGGATACTCTCTGTAGCTTGCCGGGCTCTCCAACAGGCACATATTTGTATATTTTTCTGTATGCTTTGTTGCCTACCCATCAGATATGTTATAGTAATTGTGGAAAATGGGTAGAAAGTGGCATAATGTGTGCGGAAAGCGGCCTGGAGCATGGAGGTCAGCTGCCGGGGCTGGGTCCCTCGGGGTGTGGAGGCACTGTAAATATATAGTAAAATTAGGAAAAAATTTGGAGTGGAGTGTTATAACAATTGTAGCGTTATTTGCATTAGCCAAGATATTGAAACAGACTAAGTTCAAAGCCTAGATGAAAAGGCCTGAAATAATTGTTATCCTACCTAAAAAAAAAAATAGGCAGCAAATGGCTTATGAAAAGTTCGCTTACACTAATAACCAGCAAATCAAAATCTAAATGGCAATGATATAGTCTCTCCACACCTGTGAGTATGGCCTAGATGAAAAGGCTTGAAATAATTGTTATCCTCATTCACTATTGGTGAGAATATAAACTGATCTAACCAGAGAAAAGTAACAATATTTTTCAAAAATTTTAAAAGTGAAAGTATATAATACAGCAGTAGTGTTTGTGCCAAGTGCACAAAAACATTAATTGAAATAGATATGTGCACAATTGCAGTGTTATTTACATTAGCCAAGATGTTGAAATAGCCTAAGTTCAAGAACATGTGGGTTGTTTCATGATAAGATACTCAACAACAATAAATCTTGCCTTTGTAACAAGGATGGAATTAAGAGTATTATGTTAAGGAATGCAGGAAGAATAGTGGAATCAAAGAGATTTGCTCTTAGCTGGAGGTTCTTTGTCCTTTTAGTTATTTCTTCAATGCTCTTGAAGGCATTCCAAGCCGCTCTCTTCCTCCTGCGCAACTCAGGTGCCAGGTCATTCATCATGTTGATTTCTCGACCTAGGTATATATAACTGTTGCATTCGGAGATGGTGGTTCCGTTGAGAGCGAATGGAGCGTCAGGAACAAGGCTGTTTCTGATTGGATTGAGCCATTACTGATTGGATTCCACGAGACATCAAAAGATCACGTGGACGCCCACCTATAAGATGGTCAGACTTCTTCATCAAGACCCTAAATGATCGGTTTGAGGCTCTACATGTTCCTAAAACGAACAGATACCATTGGGCTACGCTAGCACGCAACCGGGATGAATGGAGACGTTACTGGCACCGGCTCGAATAAATCGATGAATAACAGGGATTAAGTGATTAAGTGAAGTGAAGTGATGTTAAGGAATATTAAGAAATATGTCAGAAAGAAACAGATCTCATTCAGATGTGGCATATAAATAAACAGTGCAAAGGAAGGAATAATGAGAAAACTAAGTCCTTCACTCTAAAAAATGTACTAAGGTTATCAAAGTAGGGAGGAAGAGGATGAACTGGAAAATTCCTAGGAAGACTAGTGGAGGATTATGGTATCTTGAGCCTAGGCCTTGCATAACATTGCATTCATTAAAATGTAAAGATTTATATTCTCCCTTTACCAATGTGAATGAAAACAAACCCGAATTCTGAGTGGATGGACTTACAGGCAGCATCACCACTCAATTTTAATACTTTTATTATAGGATAACTTAATTTTTTTTAACTGACATCAATCAAGTGCAGTTAAAAGGTCTTTTACCATCTGACAGTAATTTGGAATATTTTAATGTAAATTACTTGTGTTTATTTGTGTTTCAATGATAGTCATCTAGAAAGGTGATTTCCAGATATGCAAAAGTAAGGGAATAAGGTGGGATATAATATTTATTTTATTTTTCTGGAATTTATGCTTGAATTTTAGCAGAGCAGAGAGAAAGTTGCCTGCAATAACTTTAGAAAAGTAATTTCAAAGTATGATGCGTTAGTGTTTTTAGAATTGATTTAGATTCAATAATTCAGTTACTAGGATCTTCAATCCTGAATTAGTCCTTACTTGTACTGCCTTTGACCATCATAGATCCCAGGCAGTATATTAGTCTGCCAAGTTTAATGTTTCATCGTAAATCTCAACCTTGTTAATTCACATAGCTGACCTTGTTCTTTCTCAAAATATTATTGGCTATCCTTATCGTTTATGTTTTCCACAGACTTCAGAACATTAATTTTCATCATGTAAATGTGCCCACTTATAAAGAAAAACAAAGATTTTCAACTACTATTTAATTTCAAATTATTGCTGCAATTTTCATTATTTCAAAAATTTCTTGAATCATTCATGCTAAGGAGGGTTACTGTCAGATAGTAGGATTTGTCTGCCAATAGAGATAAACTATTAGAAACAAGTCATTGCATTTTATTTAAGTAAAAATATAGAATTAAAAAGGAAATTTAAATGCAAGATAATAGCAGATTATACCTTAAATATTTAATAGTTTCTAATAGTTTTTGTCAACCACTGATTAACAAAAGCTTATTCCAATATTCTGTGATTGTAAAGTGTGAAATTTTTAAACTATATAACTCAATTTTATAGAAATTCCACAGAGAAATAACATATGAATAAGTGAAACATGAAACACCTAAATAACATTTTGTCATTGAATGGACTGTAATGTCAATCAAGATATTCTGCATTCAAATAGGAAAACTAGTCTTAAGTGCATGTTTATATATCTTATATATATTTTTCTGTTAAGAAACTTCATATTTATACAGGAAGTTTTTAATGGAAAAAAATAGAATGCCCAGGGATCCCAATTTAATTATAAATATTGTATTCAGACACCACCGACGCCTCTTTTGTCACATGTTCCAAGGAACAGTTCTTCTCCAGTGTCGAAAATGGCGTTCTGTGATTGATGCCTTCTTGTCTCAGTCAGACCAGTGATGTCGTACTTGATCTTTCGTGCTTGTACCATCAGGTCCTCGGTGGATGCATC